AGCGTGATTATATAGCCCTAGCTCCCAACGTTGAGTGCTTTCTCTGACTGGGGAACCTCTGGAGCTGGAACGGACATCTTTGTGTTCCACAGCCCCTGACGCTCCCTCCCGCCCTCCCTGATCGCTGGGCAGCTGAGTTAGCAGTGTCTCTTCAGGCGTTACCCAGTCCAGACAAAAGATAAGCTAAAGGTCTTTATAAGCTGCTGTAACGGTGAAAAATACTGGTATGTTAAGCCAGTTCAGTGGAGTTACTACTACTTTTCTCCTCAGCAAGAGTATTAATTTTTTTCTCTCCTTTCTATTCACCAATTTTCACAAAACCTGAAGGAGCTAAATAATCTCTTCTTGAAATTTCTGTCTAACTTAAATCTGATTAGCTTGTCAATGGCCAGTGGGATAAAACATAATTAGGAGGGGACAACGGTTGATATGATCAGAGGATCAAAGATAGGGTGAATAAAGGTCGTGCTATTTCATAGCCAACTTCTGTTTAATATGTGCAAATAAATGAGAACTAATAATGATAGTTCCCATAATATGAATATGTGCAAATCAGAACTAATTTTTTAGTTAATTGTGCTGAGAAAGAGGAATTGTTTTGTATTTGATCCAGAGGTGTTTTTCCAAACTGAGGCAAAGCTTGAAGTGTTTGAGGTTAGATCATACCTGCGGAACTTAGTAATTGAAAACCATGGTTTAGAATTGCATCCTTCTAGGTAGGTGAGGGAGAGCTAGCACTGGGCACTCCAGCTCACTAGGTGCATATACACAAAACATCCAATAAAAAGTCACTGTTGGTCTTAGAAATGCTTAAGCTCAGTAATGCTGAGGTGGTTAGAATATTTGAGCAGAAAAAAGACATGATGAGCAAATCATCATATATAAGTTTATTAAAAATGAATGCAAAACTGCAATATTCAGGTTGGTTTTTGTTTGGTTTTTTAGGTACCTTTCATGGGCCTTAGACACAAACCAAGAAGAACGAGACAAAGGTAAAACAGTAGAAGTGGGTCGTGCCTATTTTGAAACTGAGAAGAAACACTTCACTATTCTAGATGCTCCTGGACACAAGAGTTTTGTTCCAAATATGATCGGTGGGGCTTCTCAGGCTGATCTGGCTGTGCTGGTAAGGACAAACCAGACTATTTCACTTCGGCTATATTGTGGAATTAAGCTTCTGATTTCTATGTTTTGTTTGCTTGTTTACTCTTTTGCTTAGTTACAGTGGGCAAATTTTTCAAATCTTAGGTCTACCAAGTTGAGTGGGTTTTGGAGTGAGTTAATGGCTTCAGAAAATTGTCCTCAGGTGTCATGTGGTTTTTACATATGTCAGTGCAGAACCCGGGGGGTAATATTGAGGCTATACCAGTGTGTTTTTGAAAGCTTTTACCAGTTTTGACTAGCCAAAGTTATTTTTGAATAAGGCAGTATTACCCATTGTCGATTCTTCTGTTGACAGAATTGTAGCACTTTTATTAAAATGTGTGTTTTTAATTAGGTTATTTCTGCACGAAAAGGAGAGTTTGAAACTGGATTTGAGAAGGGTGGACAAACAAGAGAACATGCCATGTTAGCAAAAACAGCAGGCGTAAAACATTTAATAGTTCTTATTAATAAAATGGATGATCCAACTGTAAACTGGAGTAATGAAAGGTGAGTTTAATACTTTAAAAAAATTAATCTTCATTAAGAGATACTGCAATAAAATAGTTCCTAAGGAAAATTTTTTTTCCATCCCATTTTTGCTGAAAGAATGGTAGACCGGTAGACTAAACCCAGAGGTTATCAAAATTTCAGGAGAACCAGAAGCACAGTGCCAGGACAGTGCCTCTCAGCTAAGCCTGAAGTCCTACACTGCTGTAAAACCTTCACTTTTGGCCGTTTGGGTCCATGCAGCCATACCTCACAAATCCATGCTTTCTAATGTTGTTTGATTGTGAACTTGGAATCTTTATACTGAACCCAAAGGGAACTACTCTGTCTTCAGTAGTTCAGTTTGCCAGATTCTTGATTGCTTGGCCATGTTCCTGCTAAACTCCTGGCTTGGATTTGGTGAGAACAGTGTTGTCTGTTCACCTTACGTGTCCACCTGTATCATTTGGAGTTGTTCTTCTATAAGCTGAATTGAATAAGCAAATAGTACATTAAGTGGTTCATGATTACAGTCTGAGAAGGGGGGAGGGACAGAATCTTGCAATGATACAGGCCAGGTAAAAACAACTAGAAAGTCAATACATAATCCTTTTTGTTAGTTATTTAATATTAAGTTATTATTTTCTGCGTCAAGGCTGAAACATTACTAAAGGGTTTTAATTTTCCCGAGTGTAAAAAAAGTTAGGTCTTTATACGGCTTCTGTGACATCTGTCTTCTCACCCCTTTAAGCTGGAAGCTAAAAAGTGTAACTTATTCCTTCCCTGGAGATACTTGGGTGATCATGGGATGCAGTTTTCTCCTACAGCATAAGAAGAAGAGTTGTCAGCAAACTTGCTGTGCTGTCAAGAATGGTGAAAGTCTTTGTGGAAAGCTATGAGGGACTGTGCGACCTTAGCACATCAGCCTGGTTTGCTAAGAGAATTGGGCATGCCCCAACCTTCTGACACTGCTGAATTCAGCTGAAACTGAGGGGCAGAGGTGTGACAGAAACAAATAGCATTGAGTCTTGGGAAACTATGGAGGAGACTGGAGGAGAGCAAGCCAGCACTAAGGGAAAGCCTGCAGCGGGACCTCAGTAGCTGTCTGCTCGCTCTGTCTTGCAGTCTAGGCCCAGATCTTTCGCTTAAAAGCAGATAGAGCATCTGCTGCTGCCTACCCAGCCCAGGACTGAGGATTATGGGGAAAACTCGTGTGCTTTGTGCGGCATAGACAATACCAAGCTGTGCTGCAGGATGGGAGAAGATGCACATAGGCTGCTAAGCTTTATTAGGTTTGCTGCTCACAGAATAGTTTAACTGATGGAAATTTAAAAACACCAAACCCCATGGACATTTAAAGCATAGTATTATGTCGTGCTGGAGTAATTGAAACTTATCTCGATCTCCTTCTCATTCTAATAGATATGAGGAATGTAAAGAGAAACTGGTGCCATTTTTGAAGAAAGTTGGCTTCAATCCCAAAAAGGATATTCATTTCATGCCCTGCTCAGGACTGACTGGAGCAAACCTTAAAGAACAGTCAGAATTCTGTCCTTGGTATATGTACGTATCTTAAATTGAACAACATGGATGTTTGCTGTGTTTCAATGAAGTAAATGCTAGGGTGAAGCTAGGAAGGAGGACAGCACGGTACATTGTTGCTGTGGTCTGAAGTGCTTGAGGAAGTACGGTCGGGACACAAGAACACAGCCACGCGCTGAGCCAAATAGAAGCATTTGCTAACTGCAGAAGACTTAAAGTTAGCAGACTCTGTAATGGTATTAGCAGTATGCTTTGGCTTTGAGTTTGAGTGCCATACTAGCCCTTAAATTTTCCAGCGATGCTGCAGTTGACAAATAGAACGAGTAACTGATGTGAACAGTGTGCTTGAAGCTGTGTATAATTAGTGACAAGTCGTGCCTCTCCCTGCATGTCATCTTCCAGCTTTGTTCGAGGCAGTTAGAACGTGTTAATGAAAATCATGTTTTGACCTAGCTTATGGGTTTGTATTTCCAAAACACATTACATGTCTAAGCAAGACTCGCAAAGGAATAATTAATTTGTTTAAAATATGCCTGTAATGTAACTTAAAAACTACATGCGCTTCCTGGGTGTTCACCTGTTAGCTGGGGTGGACACTAATGATGGGATGTTAGGATAGATTTAACTGTCTTGGAGGTCTCTGCTCTTAACGAGGACAGAATGGAAGTCATTCCTTTTGTTGGATTGCAGTTATCCATTCGGAATGATTTTTAAATAGAAGGGTGCTCACAAAATTGAAACAAACGCTTTCTGCTCTTTTAGTGGATTACCATTTATTCCATACCTGGATAATTTGCCAAACTTCAACCGTTCAGTTGACGGACCAATCAGGCTGCCAATTGTGGATAAATATAAGGTACAAATTAAAATAATAGGATTGAAAGTATAAATGGGCTGTTTTCAGAAAGCAGTAAGTGGGCTATTTACTGTGGGTTTAGAGGGTATCTTTTTTTTTTTTCCTTGGCTATGTCTACATTTCTAGCCGCAGAATAGAAGCGGGGAGGGGAAGTAAATAATTTTGGCATTATATAAGACTTAAAATCTGTAATCTTTCATGAGAACAATTTCTAAACCATTAAGTATAGCAGTGCTAAATAACTTCATTGAGTTAAGTGATCGTACTTGAAGTTAAATCATAAATAGAGCAGGCTTTTTAGAAAACTGTTTTCAGTTGTCATGTAACGGTTTCTTTTTGTGAAGGATATGGGCACTGTGGTCCTGGGGAAGCTGGAGTCAGGCTCTATTTGCAAAGGACAACAGCTCGTGATGATGCCAAACAAGGTATGGTAAGGCTTAGATATTAAAAACATGTTACTACCCTAAAAAAGAACCTACATGGTTCTCACAGATACTTATTACTTGAAATCAGAGAATTTTCTATGGCTCAGCTGAAGACAACTAAGCTTTCATGTTTTACATGGGTGATGGTTCTGGGGGTTGTGTGTAGCTTACTTCCTCAGCATTCAGAACAGGATATAATGAATTTAAACTGTAACTGTTTATTGAAATCCTGTTGTATTAAAATGATTTTGTACCAGACTAAAATAGTCACAATAGAAAACTGCCTTTTTGCTTTCTTTAAGCACAATGTGGAAGTTCTTGGAATCCTTTCTGACGATGTAGAAACTGATTCAGTAGCCCCAGGTGAAAATCTGAAGATCAGACTGAAGGGAATTGAGGAGGAAGAGATCCTTCCAGGATTCATTCTCTGTGATCCCAACAACCTGTGTCATTCTGGACGCACATTTGATGCCCAGGTAGAGTAACTAGCTTTTAATTGCTGTACAGATGAGTAAAAAGCATTCAAATATTTTGCTTGTCTTTCACCAAATCTAACTGCAGTAGTTTGAATTTTCAGTTCAGATTGCTTATTCACCATCGTATCTCTAAACTGACAGTAACACATACACCTAACACTCTGAGATCATTAATTTGCATTTTAAAAATATTTGAGTATTAACTTCTCATGAAGTTCTAGACACTTATAATCGTGAAAGCAAGATTGTCAAGCCAATTCTTCAGTTTTATACTTCATATTATAAACAACTTAGTAGCTTAAATTCTGTTTCTTTCACAAAAATGTGTGTGCATTGTTCAGAACTCTAAAATGTGTAGTTGTATTTGGTTATTCTCTGCTCTCTTATAATTGAAATGAGGAAAAACACACTGATTTTTTTTATTGTTTTACAGATAGTGATAATTGAGCACAAATCCATTATCTGCCCAGGTTATAATGCTGTGCTGCACATCCACACCTGTATCGAAGAAGTTGAGATAACAGTAAGTGTCCTTTTGAGTCGTGATGTGAATAGAGACAATCCTGAGTTCTGTCATGCCGTACATCTGTAGAGCCACTGATGCAACGAAGTTCCAGCGGGGCATGGGACCTCTGGTCCGGGCTGTAACGGTTAGCATAGGCCTGCTGAAAGTGTGGTAAGTCGTGACTGACTGCTACGCAGCAAGTCTTAGAAGGTGGAGTTCTTATTTCAAAGTATTTTATTTCTTAGACCACTTCAGTTTTGTTCGTAAAGAAAAAATAACCGTTATTTTAGCACTCACAGCTATTAATGTTTTCTTATACAGGCCTTAATCTGCTTGGTAGACAAAAAAACAGGAGAAAAGAGTAAGACACGGCCCCGCTTTGTGAAACAAGATCAAGTATGCATTGCCCGTTTAAGGACAGCAGGAACTATCTGCCTTGAGACGTTCAAAGATTTCCCTCAGATGGGTCGCTTTACCTTAAGAGATGAGGGTAAGGCCGCTTGGTCAACAGTTACTAATGGCTGCAAAACAGGGTATTTGGAATAGGAGACGGTGTGCGGCAGTGAGCTATTGAAACGCTGGTGTCTAGTGGAAATCGCTGTCTGGGTAACAACAGAACAGGAAATCTAAGCAAATTGTAGTCACTGTGCAGAGTTCTTGCTAGTAACAGTGTGGTTTATTTTAGAGGAGTAATGTACAGGAACATGCACTGTGAAACAAAAGGTTTAATTTAAAAAAACTACCAGCACTGTTTTCTTAATGCATCCTGGAATGTCCACCTACGGTATGGATGCCATACCACCATGGGGTCTCCATCTAAAGTTAGAAAAGATCGGGGGGGTTGTATGTTGGGCTTTAGCTCCCGTTCACCTTGGTGAAACGCGTAGACTTGTGGGGCGTGTTTAAAATAAATCATCTTCAAAAGCAGTAAACAGTTCTGGTGGATCGATTCTGCCTTGCCTCCTCCTTAGACGACTGTGGAGCAGGCTTTCCAGAACCCACGTTGCATTCTTTGCTGTGAGAACAGCAGTTTTACTATATTTAAGATTTTATTGTGCTTTTAAATCACACTGGTGCTTTCATTCTACAATACAGCAGTTTATTCTCTGTGTTATGGCTAATACTCTGGATGGCCTGTATTTTTGGGGGAAGTTTTCATGCTCTTAGAGACCCGCACGTTCTTTTCACGGTATCTGTAACTCTCCTGTTTGTCTCCTTGGTTTAGGTAAGACCATTGCAATTGGAAAAGTTCTGAAACTGGTTCCAGAGAAGGACTAAGCATTTTTCTCAATGACCCCCGCACAATACTGTGAGGAAAATCGACTCTGCAAAAGCCTACTTCACACCGCCTTCTTATTTTCTGCCCATTGATAAACTTCTCCCCATATTTTGCAAAGACAAATTTCACAGCAAAGGTCCACATTATGTCAGCTTTCTCATATTGAGAGCTCTGCTATGCCACTGTTGAATTTTCCCAAAAAGAATTTTTTCTTTCTCCCAAATTCTGCTTCCTTGGAAAGATTCGGCAATAGCTTTGTAAGTGATGTGGACATAATTGCCTATAATTATGAAAATCTAAAGGATTTTTAATGTTTAATTTCCCCCTGCATATATATTAAGACATCTTTTTTCCAGGCAGATCATTCAGAGTGTGCGAGTGTGTGTGCACATGTTACAAAGACGACTACCATGTTAATAAACTATTCAATTTGAAATCTTTTTCGGTATTTGAATTGCTTTTGAATAATGTTTTTTATCCGGATGTAACACAGTTGCATTAGCTTTTTAACTCTCCAGTAACCTGGATGTGTGGTTACTCGGACTTTTCTAAACTCCTCAGCCTCCCCACACACACAGTTTTGAATGAGGCAATTGGGCACTCAACCAAGTTTGTATTAAAAGAATTAGGTTTGCCCCTTCCCTTTGTTGAATGCGTTCTTAAAATTAAAAAACATTTGTGCAAATGTGGCACCTTCATTAGCTTTACATTTGTTAATATCATCAGCAAATTTAGGTTGACTTAACATCATTACTAGACACAGTACATCAATTTTGAAGGCTAGAACTACTTGTTGTGTCTTTATAAAAATTCAGCGTTATTAAATTCCTGACTGCAGAAAACGCTAACGACCAGTAAATCAGTGAAACTTGCAAAAACAAGAGAATTTGTGGCAATAGTGCCTATTAGTATTTATAAGAGCTGCATTTTGTGGGAGAACTGGGCCAATTAAAAAGTGCCAGTTATGTAAGTTACTCAGTTCACCCTGTCTTTAATTTGGAGGGCTGGATAATCCTTGCTGGTTTAAAGACCAGTCTGAACTGAGAGGCAGAGAGACTATTTGAGTCCCTATAAGTTTGCACATACTGAAATGTGGGAGGGTCAGAATCAAGCACAGTCTGTAAATTTTTGCATATCAAAAAGCAATGTAAGCTTCCGAGGACCAGCGAGGTTTTTGTGAGAAAGTAAAGCAAAGCTGGTTCCAACCAAAGCTTACTCAGTACAGCCTGAACGAGCTGCGTAATGACACCTGATGTAGCTGCACTTTGAAAATGGACTGTCTACAGCCGCTCTCCTGACCCTAACAGTTAGGCTGAAGGCGAATGGATTTCTTTCATTTCCCAGAACACTGGTAGAGCTGTTGAAAGGTATCTCCAGAGCTGCTTCAGGACATCTCCAACTAAACACTGAGCTGTGCAGTTGTGGCAGGCCCATCTCCTCCCCGAGGGTTTACAGTCTAGTGACTGTGTCTGCGTTCACAGATAACTCAAAACTGAAACAGATTTCCCTTTTTGGGTTTTTTTGGGTTTGTTTGTTTCTTTGTAACTGTGGAACTCCCATTCATTTCACTTACGGCTACATTGTATGGACAGAAGAAGTTATTGTCCTTCAGTTTCATATGACTACACTTGTAGCTACCGTAATGCATGGAATTTAAATAAATTTTATTATGTCTGCAAATCTCTGGGCTTTTATTTTCTTGGTAAATCAGAGTTTAAAAGTAACGGGTTTTTCCCTGCCAAGTGAACAAAACCCATGGTTCCTTGGATCTTAAACTAATGAAATGAAAAGCCGAGGGAAACTTACTGTCTTGTTCATATTCTGGATTGACTTAAGATTTCCACATAGCTGGCTGCTTTCTTGAAGTAAGCTCGTGGCTTTGAAATTTGCCAAGGCTGTTAACTGGGGGATACTTACAGTTAGATTCCAAAATTGTTAGAACTTTTAAAACCTTTTTTTTAATGTGTTGACACATATCTCAAGACTATGTGATGCTCCAGTAGCGCTTTTCCACTTTTGAACAAACTTAATGAGGGATTCTATAACCTCATTACTTTGAGGCTGGACTGAGCATTTAATATTAAACTGCAACCTCATCTGATGGGTTGAAGTACCAGGAGAGAGACTCTTAGCACTTCTGTTACTCGCTTGATTACCATTTCCGTAAATGCAGTTAACGTTGCCTTGTCTGTAAAGGGAGGCTAAATCATTTTGAATTCATTAATGATACAATTAAGGATATTGCTAACCTGTAAGAGGTTTTTATTTGGGTATAAAATCCTTGCATTCTGGAGCAAACATACTGATAGGAAAATGTAAGGCATAAATCTACCCAAATTGGCTCCACTTTGGGTAGAAAAGCTGCAAGTACATTCTATTTGAATAGTCCTCAGATTGCATCTCAGTGCTTTCATTTCATCTCCGTTCTACATTTTATAGTCCCATTTTTACTGCTATTGAGTACAGCTAAATCTAGATGAAGGAAGGAAAAAAAGATAACGTGGCTTTGTTTGAAATAAATACTATTTGCTGATTCACTGATGTAATAAACTTTTTGAAATGACCATTTTGAATACTTCCTTTTGTGAAAACATGCTGCTTTGAAGGTGAAAGAAAGGAACTGTGTGACTACAACAGTTGAAGGGGGAAAAAAAGGAACTAAAGTTGGATTGAAGCTCTGGGAGCTGTGGGAGCGCTGCTAGCGTGACCGGGGTAACTCGTGTGCGATGCTGGCGGAGTCATCCTGGTCCTGGTGCGGCCGTCGCTGTCAGCATGTTTCTGCGGAAAGGTGGGATTTGGGAGGTCCCCTCGGTATTGACGGTATGTGCAGCGTGGTACGATGAGGATCACATCTGTGTGCCCTCGTCATTGGCCAAAGTTTGTAGTGTAGATATGGCTTAAGTGTGTAGTCATGGCGTAACTTATAAAAACATACGTTATAATTCTATAAATTAAGACCTTGTATGTCTTTGAACTGAAAGTCTTGCTACATGAAATTATAATTAAATGTAAAAAACTCAATCTGAATGTGCAGCAGTACTAATTACTTTGCAACAGAAAAATAATGACTTGTTCCTGCGAGTTAGAAGCGAGGCATGTGCACGGGAGGACCGGGCACGCCGATCAGCTGCCCACCGTCGCCACTGGCCCCTGCTGCTACCGGCCCCACTGCCTCCGTCACCTTTGCAGACAATTGGCAGCGTGGCCCCGGTTCCCGAGAGGCTCACTGGCAGTGAATTGTGCTCCTGAACAGCTGGCTGTTGCTGATGGTGTAACAGTGTTGTAAGAACTGTGGCTGCGCTAAGGAAGTTTATCCATGGGGATATTTGCTGGTCGTGACTTTTATGCCCCCTACAGATTTTTTTTTCAGTGGCATAAAAGCGCAGTGAAAATTGCTCAGTGAAGAACCTCTGGTTCAGATTACTTATGGCACCAGTCCACACATTAAGACCTGTTCATTATGAGAAATGTGGTTTTGTAATTGTTTATGACCGAAGATTCCCTCAGAAAAAGAAGATTGTTTCAATGTCCCAGGTATTTGATTCTGCATTACTCTGACTTTTCGGTTCTTAACGCAGCCTCTTTAAATGATGATGTTAAAGCAGATGAAATGTATTCCAGCCAAGACTGTTTTCCTCCTGAACTGATACTTAAAGGCTCTTACTAATTCTGCTGGTTTTGTATACCCTATAGAGGATTTAGTAAAGGAAAATATACCAACAAAACTGGAGTTACTACTGAAGATTTTATATTGTGAACCTGTTTCTTTCCTTGTGTTTATTTTGATGCACTATAAACCTGTCAAAATATTTCTTTTCCTCTGAAGAAATTCCGGAAAGGAGTCTAGTCTTAATATAAAATGGAAATTTATGCTAACAAACCCAAAATCTAGTGTGTGTATATATAACTTGTAATAATACATATCTTTTCATTGGCTTTCCTTCCCAAAAAGTCTCCACTTCCAACACAACTGGATTTTTCTACATCTCCCCTCAGTTACGCACACCTAAAGAAGTCCACGTAGTTCTGAACAAGAGTCATACGAGCCAGACAGACAAAGTGTTGGATGAAAACGGGTCCCTGGGGCTGGGTTCCTCTCACCCATTAAGCCTGTAGAACTGCTGATGGGCAGAGGGTTAGAAGAGGAACCTGTGCCGTTGTGTCCCAGACAGACACCTCTGTTCTAAGTGGCGTCCACTGAGCGAGTGACTTGCACTGCGGGCATCCATCTGCCTGGTGGGTCATTAGATTACTACAGGCTTACCGTAGGATGGCAAAGGAGCACAGTCCAAAGAAAACTAGTGCTTGAACTCCAGATCTAGCGGGCAGATTCTCTGCTGAGATCTCTCTTGTTAAGGGACTCCTGGTTAACTTCTGCACGCTCTTTGTGCTCGGTTTGTTGCAAGGAGGACACTTATGTGGACAGCTGGCAGCCGATCACCTGGGGGAACAAAGCCTGCTGCTGGAAATTTCGGGATGCACACTAAGGGAGTAATCTTAAACCTCAAAGTCCTGCTTACAGCAGAAACAATTGCTGCTTGTACATCGCTTCTGCTAGGAGAAAGTATAAAATTAGGATATATAGAAACATCCTCTTAAATAAGTAATGAGGTAGAATGGCTTGCAATTATGTCATTTTAAATCTTAGCATTTAAATAAGTGTGACAAATGGCTTAGGGAAAAAGACGTACTTCCCTATCGGAAAAGTTAAATTGAGGGCCACAGTAGAATGCTTAGAGTTCAGCAGTAACACCGATGAAAGTAACAAACCTAATTTCCCTTCTAAGAGTAACCATTATTTTGTGAAGAAGTCACTAAGTTAAAAGCACACAATCTTTATAGATTAATTGTATGCTGTATTAAGCTGAAATATTTCTTATCCAGAGGTTAACTTATTTTTCCAAGATGGCTCTATTGGCTATTTCTCTTTTCAAGAGAAAACGATCACACTAAGTCAGCTAAACCGCATCCAGTAAAATTTAGTCATGTCACACTCACAATGTGCAGAAAAAAAATGTACTTGGACGAGACTGATATGTGAAAAACGTGAATTTGAGTCGCTAATAATCGTCCCTTCAGTTTTATCCTATTAATGCTATGCTGACCCAGTACAGTCAGGCTTCACACAGACTGCTCAATCCCATCGTACAAGACTAGCCTGGCATACTTTCAGAGATGTCTCAGTCATCTGACTTATGTTTTAACACATCACACTGATATGTTGATGCTTTATTAAAACATGGCTGTTCTAAAATATGCAAAAGCCTATGCAGAGATAGGAGCAAGGCTAATACAATTATCAGATTATGAAGCACCACAGCTAGTATCATATGCATAAGTGCTACCAGTGCTGGAAAGATTTTAATGAGTCTGCCCTACTTGGCTACTCCGCGTGCTGGCAGCCTTTCAGTAATTTCTCTAACCAATGCTCATACGGCTACATGGCAACAAAGGATAGCTTTTCTTTTTCTCAGTTTCATTTATTTCGTTCATTTGTACAAATCACACAACAGAAAATTAAACTTCCATTTTCCAGGATTTTTTTTCACCCACTAATACCAGTATATGACCATGTAGCTCTTTCCTAAGTCTGGGGAAGTCTCGATCCAGCAACTATTCCACTGTTGCTCCATGAACGCTACCGGCAGAATGAAAACATAAATCATTACGTAAAGCAGCTTGTCAGCAGACTAGGGTATTCTAACTCCTTTCTCTTTGTACTGGCACACTGACAGAGCAACAAATTTTGTCAGGAGACATGTGATGAGAAGGAATAAAGCCATGACTAGAAAGCCAAAGAGCAGGGAAAAAAATCTAGAGAAGACCGAGCGACCAAGACTCCTCCTTTCACGTGTCTTTAGCCCCTGGTTACGTAGAGCTGCATTACTCAGGTAGCAGCTCACCTGGG